AAAGATTTCGGTCTCGCGTACAAACGCTTAACCTCTAGACCACTAAATAGATATCCGACGGATGTTAATGTTTTTTGACTTCAACCAATCCATGATATTGCGCTACCACTGTATTTGACGGGTAACTGCCTCATATCCGACCGGATTGAACTTCAGTGATCACTGCTTCTCATTAGAATTCCCCGAACAACTTCTCAAAGCTAGTCACTAGTGCGCATATGATAATTATCAGTATGAGGATGTTTATCTAATTACGTTTATTTGATAAGAATCCAACGCTACTGCCTAGTGCTCTTGTCTTTCGTACCAAATAATATGCATGTTTGAGTTTCTAATTTGATCTCGTTGGTAGATATCACACCGTTATGCTGCATTATTACATTTCATTTCCTATACATTAAATGTAAATTATTGTTTATACTCCATCACATTCTTTATACTTTAATGACTATAGTATAGTTTCGTCATCTGGATATGTTCTGCTGAAATTGAAAATCTGCCGTAAAAAAGAATTTTGTTTGATTGAAATAAGTTAGGCAAAAGTGTACATTTTGAATCGATAAAGGAAACAACATTTCTCAAAATAGTGATGAGCAGAGAAAAAAAACACACATAGGGACGCACGGTAATCATACAAAACGATAGGTTAAAATACAGTTTTGGGTACATACAATATTACATAAAAAAAGGATAAACAAATAAATGTGTTTGTTAAATCTTTTTTGTATCCAAAAAATAAACAGAGAAGTGAAGATATAGAATAAAAATCTTATTATTTCCTAGAAATTATTTTGACATTAACAAGGATAAAAAGTATAACAGGAACTTGAAGCATAGAATTAAAATAGACGGAATAATTTTTGTTCACATTCTATAGACAGGTTTGAATAGAAAGTTCATTGTCACTTTATTTGTGTTGTGTTAATTGTTCTGGTCAATAATCGCTTTTCACATGAAACATCAATTGAGTTATTTATTTCTTCTCAGTTAAAAAGAAAATCTCTTTATATACCCTTATTTATAAAGTCCACAATATTTGAGTAAAATATCAGGTGATATACTCATGAAAAGAAAAAGAGAAATATTTTATCTGTTCAGATGAATAATCCCTTTCGTAAGGGGTGGTTGGAAATAAAAATGATTCTGACATCACTGATGAGAGCCTACGATAATAAACGATGTTTTTTTGAGATTGTGTTTTATTGTTAAATCTTTGAAGGCGCACTAAAGAATATACAATGACATATACTCTTACATGAATAAATGCTTATATGAAAGAAATTTTATGTGAAATAGCTATAAGACAACAACTTGTGTGAAGTTTGAGTAGTTGACTTTTGATTGGTTGAATAATGAATTACAGCTGGAGCATATTTGATTATCAAGACTGGAAAAAAGTATTTCATCATTTTCATGTCTTTATGGAAATTAAAATATAGATGCATATCACCTTTTGTCATCTAAACTGATATGTAACAGTTAATGTGATATACGGAAGGAATGATTATATAAATGTGTTTTTGACTCAGTTTTATTCTTATGAGTGATAAAAACTCGACGAAAATGTTAATGAATAGTTGTGCTGAGAACCAGTACGTTAAATATTGGAACTGAATGTAATATTTATTAGCAAAAGGTTATAATTTTGTACAAGTTCAGTAATCATTATTATTTATAAGCAAACAGAATTAAAAAGAACGAACATTTTTGATAACTTCCTCATCAGACACTACAGTTATAAATTGAAAATTATCATTATTACGCAATGTGAATGCTGGTCAATAATACCTGCCGATTCATCAAGTGAGATCCTGGTTTTAAGTTGGTCTATTATTTATTCTACAGCTTAGTTTCTCAGATGTGGCCACTAGCACTACTTGTCCTTGAGCTGACAGCCAAGCTTTTATTGGTTTTTTATTGCAAGCTTCTTTCTTTACCCTGCATTTTAGTTCAGAGGTGAACAGATACCGGAAAAAGCAGTAAAATTCTATGAACAGTAGCATCCTTTCCCGCTTAATCGACTGTATACATAATGTTAATACTAAAGTTGGCTTTTCAGTTATATACCAAGTTCTTAATAAACTGCCAAAAGGCATAGGGTTTTGCTTAATATATATAGCCTAAATAGTTGGCATCACTTAAAAGAAACTCATTTAACTGATGTGTAGAAAACAGATACATACATTTCGTTGTCGTTCCCTCTTCTTTATGATGTACTAACCCTTCCAAGACATTTCTCTTACCTTTAATTATACATCCACCTTTCTTATTCTACATGATATTCTTATCATTGATGTCATTATTATTATAATAACAACTACTTATACGACGATTCTTATTTTGTCCTAAGTTGTTCTACAAACGATTTGATTCTATTGATTAAAATTCACGGTCTTAATTAAGACTTATCATTTTCTTACCCCTTATCTATGACCTATTTCAACATTACCATTAGTATTGTTTTGTTAGTTTGCAAGACTCAATCGATTTGAATTTTGCCATTTTCAATTAATTTTTGGATGAATCTAACTTTACCAATTTGTTTGTTGTTGCAGTTATGGATAGTGAATACTTATCTTTACTGGAACATCAATAGATACTGGTTAATATTAGTATGAAAACGTTATGCAAATTATTATATTTTATAAATTGCATTACAAATAATTCGAGTTCACTGAATCTAGAAAATATAAGCCATTGTATACTAACTCCAAATATTAAGAAATTGCATTAAACCTAAAGCTCTTTGGTTTTATCCTTGATAGGGGTTAAGAAAATGCTTAGCTGAGAAGTCTTATACAACAACAAAAAACCTAATTGTTTCTTCCAGTCTTTCAATTTTTGTCCAACTTAATTTAGTCAGTTATATAAACTACAAGACAGTGGTCAATCCGACTTTTAAAAAAAATCCAAATTTCAATCATCCGCTTTAAAATGTTGTTTCTAGCTATTAGTAAATTTCATTCAAACAAAAAGCTACATTTGTAAATGAATCAATTAAATCATATTTAGATATTCACTAACACAATCTATTAATTTTACCAATAAATTAGCATAAATTCCCTTTTTGTCTTTAGAAATTATCCCTAAATGTTTTTATAAAATTCCGAAATATCCGAAAAAAAATTGTTTACCTTCATTTTTAAAAAAAAATTAAATGAACAACAAAATCTTGATTAATAAAAATAATAACCACTGGGAATTAATGGCAAATAAAAGGAAGTTATATATATATATATATATATATATATATATATAAGTATTGAGAACTACATTTGAACAATGGATTCTTTGTTCAAAGTATTCACCGACATTATGAATTGAGTAAATGATACAAATTGATAATACTGATTAACAATTATATATCGATGACAATTATTCAAATGAAACATTTTCAAGTGTATTATTTAAATGATTAAAAAGAATAAGTAGCAAAGTAATGATCGATTATAATATACAGAGATGAATTATCGAATCAGGCAGAACTGGGAAGTAGTATTGTTTTTATTTGGGACTACTCTAAAATAAGGATCAATTACTTTATGGAAGATTGAATCTATTATCAACGATGAACAAGATATTCTTAGATCACTATGTAAAAATTCAATAATTCAGATCAATAATGAGCTATTTAAAAGCTATGAAGTTAGTGATTGCTTTTCTCAATATCAACAATATTGACTCCATACATTGATTTAACTAGGGAAACTTGATCCCTATGTCAATTAACACCTAGTAATTAATAATTATTGAAGCCATTGGTTTTATAGAAATGTCTTGCGTATTTTGACGTTTTAATTTTTTTTTATTAATAAACGTAATAATCATTCTCTGGTAACCATTAACTAGTTTCCAGACATAGTTTACGACATTCTCACAGAAAACCGTATTGTATCGAATCAACTATAACACTAATGAGACTGGAATTATTCAATAAGCTCAAGTCAACACAATGCGATTCACTAAGTAATATTAGTTTATGGTACAAATTATCTATAACCACAAACACTCATCGGGATCATTTAGTTGTGACTCTAAAATTATTGTTGGTTGTTACGTTTGGTCCACAACTAATAGGTTCCAGATTCAAAGTGTATCCCCTTAATTTCAACTTAACCCATTTAAATATTATTATCAACCATCATGAAAGTAATATGTCTCGAATTTGACTTACGTTAACATTTTCCTGGTAAATGATTTCATTTGACTTTGAACTTGTAATTAAACGTGAACTCCGATTTTAGACAAGTGGATTGTTAAAATCAAAGTAGTTGAATATTAGACGCAAATACATCGAAAGTATTCACTGATAGATGCACTAATTTTCAACATAGATGTCAAGATAAGTCTACTGTATGGGGCGGAATCTTCGAGAACTATGAAAACCATCACCCAGAAAATACAAGTGTTTATTAACAGTTGTCTAAGCAAAATACTTCAGATCCGTTGGTCAGACACTATTAGCAACAACCTACTATGGGAGAGAACAAACTAGATCCCAGCGGAGAAAGAAATCAGGAAGAGGCGCTGAAAGCGCATAGGACATACAATGAGGAAAGCACCCAACTACGTCACAAGGCAATCCCTCACTTGGAATCCCGAAGGCCAAAGAAGAAGAAGAAGACCAAAGAACACATTACGCCGTGAAATGGAGATAGACATGAGAAAAATGAACAAGAATTAGATGGAGTTAAAAAGGAAGGCCCAGGACAGAGTGGGTTCGAGGATGATGGTCGGCAGTTGGGATTAACAGGCGTAAGTAAGTAAAGTAAGATTTACCAAGTGAATATTTAATTTTGTATAACAATTCTTTGATAAAAAATTTATGAATTGAATGTTTGAATTAGTATATACAAATCTAAATAAATCTTTAATTCAGAATAAAATAAAAATTGATTCACAATAAAGTAAAATACATACTCAATGAAATAATTCAGCTAGAACAAGTAACAAGAGAAAAAAGTTTTATACAATGACAAAAAAGTACATGATTAACATACTTTAAATTCGCTAGCACATCACGAAATGCATCAGGTAGTCGATTGATCGGAGGAAACACATAACTAAATTTAACATTGAAAAAAAATGATAACAAGAATGAAGGTTTACATCTATTTAATCAATTATATATATACATGGCGATTGTTGATAAATTCGAATAATGTTATGATTAGTTATACAATTTATTGAAGGAAATAAAAAATGAATCCAAAATGTATATAGAATATTATTCATCTTATTCATCATAACTAGGAGACACTGGATAGCTGTTTCGTCCTATCATGGGAGTCCTCAGTAATGCGCATCGACTAACCTTATCTAGGTCCAAACCCAAGGCCTTTAGGTCTCGTGGTGAGTATTTCATCTTTATACTACTGAGTTTGTATTGACTGATCTACATTTCTAATTTAAATTGATTCCCGATATTGTACGATTATCATCCATTAGCACAGATGATATTTATCTCATTGGTTATGTTATATCCTAGTTAAGATTAAATTACGGGTAACTTTCGAGGACAATTAATGGACTAATATTCTATAAATATTCTTATTGTATAATTATTCAATAATTAGATTACGTATATTTATATTTCTCTTATTATAAGCTTCATTTTGATCTAGAATTTATTATTATACGACTTACTGTCCCTAAATTATGCTCAGTTTATTAACTACTGTCTCCCACGTTCACAACCACTTTGTGGCTTTATTGTGTACAAATGTTATCTCCTATTTTATGGTGCGTTGCGGTCTGTTTGTTTGATATATAAACACATTATGTTTGAAATATATGATTCGCATAGTGGAAGCTGATATTGGTGTTCTGGACTCAAGCAAACGGGCTAGGCGGACACAGGACCAATAAGGATGCTAGGCTGTCCATACGGCTCGAACGTCATTGGTTTGGCACAATGCTAAGATTGCATAAGTCGTATTTTGATTAGTGGATAAATCACGTGTAAAAAGCCGGAAATAAAGTCATAACAGGTTACGTGGTTTAACTTCACTGGTTATGTTTTGACGCTAGAACTCTAGTGATTACTTAGTAAGGCACCAGTGAATACATGTCACACTGAATTGTTACAAATGAATGATCAAACTTTTAGTAAAAAATATGAAATTTATGCAAAACGATTTTATGCTTAATAAGTACCACATAGATATTACACTGAATATAAACGAATTTTATATCGAGGTCAAAACATATTCTTGGCTTCTATCTCATAGCAACAAGAAGTAATCAGTCAACCTTATATTATAACGTTATTTGATATATTTATGGATTAGTCATGGTTATTGCATTTTTCCCCCAAATCTACTCTTACTAATCACTTATAAATAAAAGCATTGGATTGCATTTATTTCTAATCTAATTAGTAAGTAGTGTAAAGGATAATTATATTTAAACCTTAACTATCATAAATGTGTTATATAGTTATATTGAAGCGAACAAATTAAATTTCAGCTAATGTTTAATACTAAACAATGAGAAGATTGTCATTCAAAAATCTTGGTAAAATGGAATAATATTCCCAGTCTGATAAAAACATTAATTTAAATAATTATTATTAAGGGATTGAATATGGGGTTGTGTAGGGTATTTTTGTTTAGTATTGCACCACATAGTATTACACATTATTTTAGACCATTTTAATGGGATACTTTGTTATGATTTAATTCAACGTGATATTTTTTTGGATTAATTTAGTGTCATATATCGTTTCATATCAATTTATTATTGATTTTATTAATGAATCAATTGTTCAAGTAGGTCTGTATAGAAATAAGTTAATTTGTTAAGAAGGAAAATAAAAGATGTTTTTAAGTATTTGGATGGTGAGATACATAATTATTGATCTTTTCTATTGCATTGAACTATTTCAGTTTCAATTTCGCTAATGATCAGTTGTTCGTTCTTACTTCTACTTTCAGTTATAACCAATAGTCATAGTATTTTTAATTATCACGTTAGAATCCGAAGCTAATTTTCTTGACGGATCGATATTATTTAATGAACCGATATTATTCAGATTTCATTTTCTGAGTCATGAATTATCCAACCCAAATCAGAAGTTACATAAAAAAAGCTGCAAATTTTTCTAGTAAATACGATTTTAATTTCACATCAGAATGTGAATAACCAGTTTTTCTTTGTGATGAAGTTTTGTTCTCTGAGATGAATGGTTTAGTCTTGCAGCTTTCATCGTTATTCTGAATGACATCATCAGCACAAACTTCAGGAAGAAGTGGATTGTTCTAATTTCTCCAAATTTGGCTCACAGCTTCTTCTGTAGACCTCAACGTTGATTGATTTTTGCAATTTTTTACATTATGTTTCGACAAAACGATATTTTAAATGGTCATAGATTACATTACTGACTTAACATAACATGGTAAACATGGAAAATCATTGAATTTTAATTTCCACTGATTTTCTAGTTAATAGGAAGTCTGTGACTGAAACTATAAACTAAATTATCTCACCAAATGTTTCATGATAATAATTTTGCATAATTGATTATTGTCAGTATTATTATTATTCAAATATCAAGGAACAATATTTTTAACTCAGGTTTTACGTCAGTGGCAAAAAAAACAGATCAAAGAGTAAACATTCAATGCATCATTTAAAAAATACCAACAATTCATGGGGAGAAAATTTCTTTTCAGCTGTATAATTCGATAATACTACTGTTTTACACATAGTATTTTGTAATGAAATGGAACATTTACGCATAATCAACATAGCTAGAAAAATTTAATCAAGAATGTTCACTTATTGGATGCAATAAATATAGGTATATTGAATGTTCTGGTACTGTGGAAGACTAGAAGGACCGGTCAAATTGTTTCGGAAATGAGTAAATACTACTTGTTATTTGTCAGAAGTGTTTCCCACATACAAAGAGTTGCACCGATGCTGTCCGAAGGAGAATGGAAAGCACTTATAGGATGTTAATCTTATGGATTCAGAACCATCCAATTATCTTTCAAAACAAAGAGAGAAGGAGTCACAATTAACAAGGTGCAGTCGGTCATAGAAAAGTGATCAGGAAAGGAACTTGCCATTCTAATGAGACAACTAGACGCCTAAGTCGGAGTGAACAACACTTGGTATAAAGACACCATGGTACGACATGGACTAGGGCAAAGAAGCGAGAATAGTTGCAGATTTGTAAATTTATGTGTGTTCAACAAAATGGTTATAGTTGACATTATATTCCCCCATAAACGCATACACAAAGCCAAATGGGTTTCACTGGATCAAACTACAGAGAATCAGATCGATCATAATTACATCAGTAAAAAAAATTCAAAAGGTCGATGGAAGACGTAAGAACCAGGAGAGGAGCCGACATATCTTCAGATCACCATCTGGTGGTTGCCATGATGAACCTTAAGCTAAAGAGGCGATGGACAACTGGACAAACAGCATTACAAAGGTTCAATATAACCTTCCTTCGACTAGACATGATCACCATTGTATTTCAACTCAGTGGTTTGCAGATTAACAGCCCGCTTCAAAATATTATGGTCTTTATCTCAATGACTAATACTGTTGTGTATTCGTACAGTTGGAAGTCGCCCACTAAGATGCAATAACTGTTAGTTTTCAATAATTGATCAACTAAGTTCGGTCCGTGTTGCAGACTACGAAAATAATTGTTGGTCTAAACCAAAAAAAATCATTTGATAATAACCTATGGTATATTGCCTATTTTCTTACTTCTAGCCAAATACCATCATTCAAGTTCTAATCATAACAAGATCGACTGGTCTGGTCTGTCAGTAGGGTTATACTATGAACAATAATCTAAAACATCCTGTATATGTTGACTTAAAGTGAATCCCAGTCATATAACATCACTTAGTGATAATATCTCTGAGTGTAAAGGTGGATTATATGACTTCAGTCTTAGTTCCTTTGATAATATAAAAACAATATACTAACAAGCAGTACCTAGTGTTCATTATTGTCTAAAACCAAATGTCTAATATTAGATTAGTGGATCAGCCGTCTACGTTTTTGATCAATATAATATGAAAAAATATAATCAATATTTTTATTGTTAAAAATAGCAAGATTTTTGCTTAGGAAGTTTTCTTAACTATACAAAAAATGCACATTTATTTGGATTTCACGACAGAGAAAAAGAACAAAGGTACATTAAGACATAGGTGCACATATGAATAAAAATGAACATATTCCCTTAAATAACGGAATAGATAACTATTTAGAAAGACAATTTACAACAAATGTGTGAAATCCTCTGAAATATCTGGTTATGTAATTTAGTAATTTTTAAAAATTATTTCCTTTATAATCCTAAATACGATAACTGTTCTTTTTTACACATTGACCAACGGAAGTAAGACAGGACAATTTAAAATAGGATGTTTGATATTATATTCAAAGAAAAGTAATTTTTCCCATATTTACTTTAGTTGCGTAGTTAAGCTTCCAACTATAGAAATACAAAGTATGTTGTATAAGAATAAACAATAATATGAAAACACTGAAATGAAATATATCACGATATTTAACTATAAAATTGATCAATGCTGTAATTGTTGTGAAGAGTAAAGTTTCAGATCAAACATCATGTGATAATGCGTTGATTGTTAAACGAACGGAATTTTATGTCCATGTATTTCTGTATGAGGTTTTCAAGGTGAATATTGTTTTAAAGCCGTGATTAAAACTTGTTCATTATTTATTAAGTCAATATGTCGTCTACATTACGAAATATTTATCTTCAAAACAGCCAAACGTTCTTAATATTAGTGTATGAGAAAATCTAAATCAATATGATTTTGAAAGTAATTTCAATAGAAGAATATATCGTCTAAAATTCATTAAAACCAACTATGAAAAACTATTTTTTTGGTTTTACTTTGATACTACTCATTGTTATCAGTTGGATCAAATACATCTCAGTGAACAATAACTGTTTTCTTGCGAAAGAATTTTTTAATGGTCTAGCAGAGTGAGTGAAAAAGGGCTATCATCAATAAGGCGCATATTAGTAGAGGTGAGGATTGAAATGGGGGAATAACAT